ACAGAAACTCCAGACCATTTGTTTCAATAAAATCCTTCAGAATAAAAGTCTTATTCATAATAGATCTGGCGTTAGACAGAGCAAACCTGATGACGGAAGAAGATGCTGTTACAGTCAAGTCTTCTGGATCCACTGGCGAGGGCTCTGCTGATTCACATATCACCTCAAGTAGATTTTGTCGGTGAACTCCTCTCCCGCACACCCGCCGCTGTGGTGCAGGGCGCCGCGACTGTATCATCCCGCCGCCGCACACAACCGACACCAATCCGGAAGCCGCCAGATTCAACGGCACCGGATCCAACTGGTGCTCCGGCGACCCACCGTCCCCCTCTGAGCCCACAACTCCACACACAGCATCCAACGTGCCACGTCGAGCCGATCTCAGCTTCATCCGGCGTCCAGCACGCTTCCCCCGTCTCCGGCACCTCCTCCATCTAGGTAAGTTTGCCACGTAGCGCACGCAGCCCAAAGAACCATCCAGTAGTGGCGATCCATTCTGCCCAAAACCTCCAGAGAACGATAAGCCCTCAGCTGCTTGGCCAATCCCAAGCAAGGTTTTACGATCATACACCCGGATAGAACTGCTAAATTTCAAGGAAAGAAAAACTAACATGAAGCAGAAGAAAAGCTTCAGGAGCAATAGACGAGCTGCCACACACCGGGAGGAAGATTTGGATATTACAACATCCAAATCTTCCTCTCATCAGCCACTAAAATCATCTCACTCTTCACTGTAGCACCTACCTGCACCTCAGCACGTCTGGCTCTCCCTGTCTCACCCTCAGCAGGTCTGGCTCTCTGTGTCTCACCCTCAGCAGGTCTGGCTCTCCCTGTCTCACCCTCAGCAGGTCTGGCACTCCGTGTCTCACTCTCAGCAGGTCTGGCTCTCCCTGTCTCACCCTCAGCAGGTCTGGCACTCCGTGTCTCACTCTCAGCAGGTCTGGCACTCCCTGTCTCACTCTCAGCAGGTCTGGCTCTCTCTGTCTCGCCCTCAGCAGGTCTGGCTCTCCCTGTCTCACCCTCAGCAGGTCTGGCTCTCCTTGTCTCATCCTCAGCAGGTCTGGCGCTGCCTGTCTCACCCTCAGCAGGTCTGGCTCTCCCTGTCTCACCCTCAGCAGGTCTGGCACTGCCTGTCTCACCCTTAGCAGGTCTGGCTCTCTCTCTGTCTCACCCTCAGCAGGTCTGGCTCTCCCTGTCTCACCCTCAGGGTCTGGCACTCCCTGTCTCACTCTCAGCAGGTCTGGCTCTCCCTGTCTCACGCCGGGGACACACCGGCCGCGGAAGCGCCGCGAAAATGGGGCCGCCTTCATTCGGCGCCCTTGTTAAGCTATTCTATAGACCACATGGGCCGCCGAAGCGCTGCGAATCGCCTCGCGCCGCCGCGCGCCGGCGCCCCAGCCCGCGCCGTGCAGCGATCATTTCGGCGTCGGCTCTATTTTTTTCGCGAGCCGAGGGTGAATCGCGTCAATTCTGGCAGGAAGTCAAACCTAGACATAAGAGGCAGGCCGGTAAAGTTAACAAAATAAAGCATTTCAAAATAAAATTCCGCAATAGTCAAATGTGTTCGTAATCAGACACTGCAGAAAAACCACACAAACACACACACACACATCGAACTTGTGTGCGTGTGTGACCACGTGAAGGGGTGTGTGGTTTTGGGTGTCTTTTCACCGGAGCAAACAGGACAGAGAGGTAGAAAGTCTGAGGCAAGCAGTTAAGATGGATGACTTTAAATTAATTATGGAAGTTGAGAAACACAAGGAGCTGTACGACCCCCGAAAAACATGATTATTTACGTACCCATTTCGGAACAAACTGCTAGGATACAGCTGCAGAATTGGAGCGGGTTCCAAGAGATTCAACTGGCAGAAACAACTCATACCATAGGTTCACACACACACACACACACACACACACACACACACACACACACACACACACACACACACACACACACACACACACACACACACACACACACACACACACGCACGCACACACACGCGCACACGCACACGCACACACACGCACATGCGCGCGCGCACACACGTAGAGGAAAATAGCTGAGAAAAGGCGGAGAGGAAATGGAGGACACCAAGTGTTTTAAAAGAAAAACTACAGCTGAGCCGAGGCGCGCCTCGACTGGGGCGCGTCTGATCTGAACTGAGGAGCGGCGAGCAGCGGCCGAATTTCGTGAGCGATTCGCTTCTCGGCGCTTCGTGGCGCTTCCGCGGCCGGTGTGTCCCCGGCGTCACCCTCAGCAGGTCTGGCTCTCCCTGTCTCACCCTCAGCAGGTCTGGCTCTCCCTGTCTCACCCTCAGCAGGTCTGGCACTCCCTGTCTCACCCTCAGCAGGTCTGGCTCTCCCTGTCTCACCCTCAGCAGGTCTGGCTCTCCCTGTCTCACCCTCAGCAGGTCTGGCTCTCTCTGTCTCGCCCTCAGCAGGTCTGGCTCTCCCTGTCTCACCCTCAGCAGGTCTGGCTCTCTCTGTCTCGCCCTCAGCAGGTCTGGCTCTCCCTGTCTCACCCTCAGCAGGTCTGGCTCTCCTTGACTCACCCTCAGCAGGTCTGGCGCTGCCTGTCTCACCCTCAGCAGGTCTGGCTCTCCCTGTCTGACCCTCAGCAGGTCTGACACTGCCTGTCTCACCCTTAGCAGGTCTGGCTCTCCCTGTCTCACCCTCAGCAGGTCTGGCGCTGCCTGTCTCACCCTTAGCTGGTTCCTGCTGAACTTCCTCTGGTCTCTTATATGAAAAAAGTGACATGAATAAGGTTTAAAAATAAAATTTGATGAGAATGTCACAAACAAGCATTAATCTCACAAACTCAATTTTATGTGGAGATTCTACTTTTTTATTTATTTCGTGTCAAATGGTTTTTGTCTGTTACTGTAAAATTCATAATTTTTGTTGACTAGTAGTGTTGTTTAATGTTTAATGCTAACTAGCAAGATGTTTACGTTAGTCAGCCAGTCTAACGTTTGACCAGAAATACAATTATCCTCTTAGACTAAATTATTACCAACTCACATTTCCTTTCTTTCTTTTTTTTTGCGCATGAGAAGAACTCGCTGAGCTGCTGCTGTCCTCATCTCTGACCCGGTTTCACACTGCAAGCATCAGCAGAACAGAATGGCAGCAAAGCGGCACCGCTTCAAATAGAAACCAATTATAGTCTATGGAGTTTTCAAACCAGCCGCGACGTGGCAATTTTCAGGCGCGTCCCAGAAGCGGCATGCCGCTGCTAAAGATAGGATCGAGTTCTATTTTTTCCGCGAGCCGTTTCTGGGACACGTCAATGCCCTCAGTTCACATAGTGCGAGACAGGAAACCACACTATTTTCAAAATAAAATGCAACATTGCGATGTTATATATAACTTACGTCAGCACGTGTGACCGAACGGCTTTGTTTACCACCAGTTTCTTTCGAGAAGTGCAACGGTGTGATACCTCGCGGGGGTTTAGATCTCTCGATGAGGAAGGTGTCAGAAATCTCGAGGGATTTTAGAATCTCGCAGGTACAGCGAGGTGCCGCGAGGAAGCCGTGCCGCGGCCAAGACTCTCTCGGTGTGAAAAGGACCACTTTGAAGTTCACGAGTGAGCCGCTTCGCTGATGCTTGCAGTGTGAAACCGGGGTTACAGCTGCGTCTGCCCCGGCTCCTGCTTCACTTAGCCAGCCTGTCAGACTCCCTGAGGGGAGGGGCTGCGTCAGTGAGAAGTCTGCGGTGTCTTTCAAAATAAAAGCTTGTGAGTCAAATATTTCAAAATCCATTTTCATCTTATCCATGTTTTTGGGGGGGTACAAATACGTGTTTGTCCAATATTGGAGGGGACATGTCCCACCATGCCCCCCCCCCCCCCCCCCCCCCCCCCCCCCGGTTCCTACGCTCCTGGTGCTCTGTCTTCTCGATCTCCAGTGAGACATAGTGGATGGCTGCTTAAACAGAGCCAGGATCTTCTGTATGGCGCGGTATGGGGGCCAAAATTAAGACTACTGCCCAGCAGCAGGAGGCTATACAAGTTCCGAAGCAAACTACAGACCTGATTAATGATAAGCTGGCGCCGGTAACTGAGAGGCTGGCACTGCTTACTGAGAAATAGCACCTTTACTGGCGTTACTACTAGATATGCTAGGGACTAGCGGTCCTCGGCTGGTCATTGACTGGATCACACACTCCCTCTGCTGTCTATTAGCATGGATCGGCTAGCTTTAGCCTGGATGGGCTTGTGTTAGCATTGGAGAGGCTAGCCATTAGTGTGCCTAGGCTAGCCACTAGCTGGATTTCCTGCCCCCTCGATGGACCTTTAGCATGGGCTGTGTCTCAATTCAGGGTCTGCATCCTTCGAAGGACCCAGCCCACCCGGCCGACGTGGGCTGCGTCCTCCGTCGGCCGGGTAGACCGGATGTTAACGGCTGTGAATTTGGACAGGCCTAGCCTTCATGAACTCCCTCGGCGAACGTTCCGTCGCCTAGCAACCGTGGAACCGCTGGGCAGAAGGGAGAAGGAACTTTAAACGATGGAGCTCGACGTTTTATTTAGCTTTTTAACCCCCAGAAACCCAAATTTAGAAAACAACTGCAAAATATGTTTTTAACCTTTCACATGTTCTAGGAGGCCAGATAAACGGGCCTATTTACACATTTTAACAGCCAATAGTGTTGCAGAACTGAACAATAGGACCTATTAGCAATGTAAATGTGGTTTTAAAAAGAAAAAAAAATGGGGAAGGTTTATTCTTGTAGACTTAAATCTGATGTTGTAATATTACAACCGTGGGTCTCTGGGGGTTAATCATTTCCTTGACTGTTGGAGAGCTAATTCAGAGAAAATACTTTAGACTAGCTGAGCCTGAGCAAAGATGTGATAATAGTTTTTAATACTTTCTAAGGGTCTTAATTTGACCAAAACCGATTTATCACCTTTTAAGACTTTTCAAGACCCAGCGGATACCTTCTAGTAAACAATTCTCATTTGTAAACAAAAATAAAATTCAAGAGTTTAATGCAGAACTGATTTTATTTAGATATTTCTTTTACATGTACATGTTTAATCTTCCTTAACCATTTTTTTCTAGCAAAGTAAAAAGCTGTCAAAGTTCTTCCTTCTCTCCTGGGCTCCTGCTGCTCTGCCTCCCTCTGCAGCCTCATGTCCTCCCAGATCAGCTCCAGAAGCTCATCGCTGGCACCTTCCCCTGGATGCCCATTTTCTCCAGAATAGTCTTAACAAACATGTAAGAAAAGAAACAGGAAGAGAAAAGAGGACAACGGGTTATTCCTTTCATGTTTTCGCAGAAAAAAAATAAACTCAAACGAGTTTTTAAAATATGAGATGTTATTGTACCTCCATGCCACAGCCGCCGAATACTTTGCTCCGGTGATCATGTGGTCCATCTCCGTCCTAAGCTTAATAAATTCCCTGGTTTTCTCTTTTGTTCCTAAAATACAAACTTCTATTAAAATCAGGGGGAAACGTAGCGGGAGAAGTACGACACCGAGCGCGGCCGAACATACGAGCCGAGACCGCAATACAAGCACTTTTACTGTAACATTTCTAACTAAAATAACGTTCATGTATCACAAAAAGTCCTTAAACTGACAGTTTTCAAGTTTATACTTACATGTATATGCGCAATCCTCTCCGACAGCTCCCGCTTCACTGTCCGCCATTGTTTTTAAGTTTTTCTGCCGGCCGGCCCGCAAGGCATCTTGGGAAATGCTACCTATTGAAGGATACACCCGACCCATCCTTCATTCAGGCGAAAAGAAGGCCGCATTCGTCGACCGCATTTGAAGGAGTCTTCGAATTGGGACAGGCCGAGTCGCGGCGCTGTGACGTAACCGGCCGACGAATCCGGCCGAGGTAGGATGCAGACCCTGAATTGAGACACAGCCATGGATAGGCTGGCAATAGCAGCGGAGAGGCTAGCCATTAGCATGTCTCGGAGAGTCACTTACTCTATTAGATGCCATTTTTTTCTTTTAAACTTTTATTAAACAGATGACATATTATGAGACCTGCAATCACAGTTGTTCTTTGACAGAACACGTTGTTATACAGATTAACTTTAAGCATATTGTGAAGCTGACAGCCTGTTAGCATTGATTAGGTGCTGCGTTAACTCCATTCTGCTCTTAATTACAGGCTGATGGTGTTTTCTTTTTAAATAGTTTGGTTTTCTTGCACATATCAGAGAACAAGTCAGAGCTAACTAGTTTGTACTTTTCATGTCTGGATTTTAAATCTTTTGTATTGAGTTACAGGTTAATAATTATTAAAATTGTGATGTTATCTTTGTTAAAACTATATAATATGTCAAAAAAAAACAGCATCTAATAGAGTAAATGACTCTCCGAGACATGCTAATGGCTAGCCTCTCCGATGCTAACGCCAGCCTATTCATGCTAAAGGTCTGCCGAGGGGTTAGGAAATCTAGCTAATGGCCAGCCAAGGCACGCTAATGGCTAGCCTCTCCAATGCTAACACAAGCCCATCCAGGGTAATGCTAGCCTAACAAGCACTCATAACAAGCGGATTCTCAGCGCTTTGCTCATAAAGCAGAAGACCTGCAGGCCCCTGTAAGTTAAAACATCCTGATACTTTTCAGGTGTAAACATTGTGCTCCATCCCTGTGTTTGAACTTAATTGTCCAATCACAATTAAGGCAGGAAAAAGAAGCACTTCAGAGTTACCCTCCATAGGGAGGGCGGCTTTGCTCTGCAAAACCCCCCACCTCAGACAGAAATGCAACAGACTTCAGACAACGCAACATAAGTGTCCACTAAGTGGGGTGGTGGGTAGGGACTATCCCTACTTCAGTTCCTGCAGCCACGATAAGCAGCGCATGTCACCTCAGTGTGGATAGGGGGAGGAGCATTGAGGGTTGGAGGGTTGCAGTTGTTGGGTATTTTTATTTAATCAGGCGTACCTCAAAGAAAGTAGAACACACACAAGGGGGTTAGAGATATTAGGCTTTAGGTTACCAATACCATTTACCAATAAACACCAATAATCAACAACGAGACTCTGCAAAATCGGAGAGAATGAAGATACACACCAATGGGATATCTGTTTGGTCTCTCATCGAGCAGAAGCTCTCAAAAAGGTTTTGTTCAAAAGAAACATAGCACACACACATAAAAGGTAAACAACCACCCCCTTCACAGAAAGCAAACTTTCCCAGGTTCTTGGTATAACAGAGAAACGCTCCATCTGGATGTAACTAGGGAGGTTATTGTGATAACCGAACTTCAGACCTACAAGGTCGAACTTCCCTGCCGGAGCCAAAGAAAGATAACAAAATATGAACAAGGACTGAACCTTCATTTGAATTTAAAAACACCAGATGGTACCCAGACAAAATCATTTTCCATGCATCTAATACTGTATTTATCCAACAGCAGTGACCCTGGAACATTTCAGCGGCCTTCCCGCAGTCCCGCCCAGGCTGGGAAAGGAGACAGCTGAGTTGCCATAGCGACGGCACATTCCACATATCTTCTGAGGGGGGAGTTTTCGTTGGAGCCTTGCAGGTTCAAGGGCACCAGATTACGATTGGAAATTGTTTTGGGGCCAGACAGAGATAATTTTCTCTCTGTCTTACAGTTTGTTGGTCCTCAACCTCTCAAAATCCCAATAATGGACATTAATCTATCCCAATCTGTGCTGATTCGTCCACTTTCTCTTGATGGCAACCATCTTTTGTGCCAATAATGAATCTCGGCCAAAGTTCCAAGCTTACGATTCATCTTGACAATTATGTGAGTCTGTGAATTCACAGCACGGTGCAATCCATCTCTGAGCTCCGGGATCAGGCCAATATTCCTCAACAGCTTGTTAATTTTCTGGTAAGCCAGGTAGCCTCCAAGGCCAATGAGCAGGAAACCTGACACCAACACCACGAATATCCACACGTCTTCAGAGTCCTCCACAGACAGCTGAGATAAACAAATCAAGTTCCACTGTTTCCAGGAGTCCATGATGTGTCCAACTGGGTATGTCGCGGAGGGGCATCCGGGAGCCCCTTCTCCCGTTCTCATCGTTGAAAAATTTTTATCAATCACGTTGAGAGACCAACTGATGAGATCCATTTGAGTGAATTTCAGTTTCCAGAAAAAATGCAGAAGCAGCCGTGCACCCAGCACACATAGACAGACAAAGGGCCTTGAGGATAAGATATGGAAGAGAGGAGGAAAAAAACGTATGCACCCTCCAAGAGCCAGAAGAAAATGTTTTAAACCTAGTCTTAAAAGTAGAGAAAGTGTCTGCCTCACAGATTAAGCTGGGAGCTGGTTCCACAAGAGAGGAGCCTGATGGCTAAAAGATCTGCCTCCCATCCTAGTTAAGGTGGATCTTAAAATCTATTCTGAATTTAATAGGCTGCCAATGTAGGGAAGCTAATGGGCCATTCCCATCTGTACCGGGTCGGCCCGGGCCGAGTAGCCCCAGTCGGCCCCAGCCTGGCTCGGTTGATTCCACACATCCTTGTCTTAAGCCCATGTGGGCTGATTCTGCCCACCAATCAGAGGCTTGCTCTAATGGAAGGTGTGAATTTGCTGTCAGCAGTGGGTGTGTTGGCCCTGGTCGGCCTGAAGCAGACCCCCTCGAGAAGTGGGCTGAGAATGAGCCTTGGTTGGCCCAGAAAAATACCAGGCCACCCAGATATGTAAACAACCTATGCTACCTGGCCCGGGCCTACCCGGCACAGATAGGAATGGCCCATAAGACAGGAGAGATATTATCTCTCTTTTTAATTCTCATCAGAACTCTAGCTGCAGCATTTTGGACAAGCTGAAATTTTTTAACTACATTCTGTGGACTTCCTGAGAGTAATGAATTACAGTAATCTATCCTTGGTATAATAAATGCATGAACCCATTTTTTAAACATAACTCCTGGAAAGGATGCTACTAATCTTAGCAATATTGCAAAGGTGGAAAAAGGAAATCCTACAAACCTGTTTAACGTGGGATTTGAATGGCATGTCCTGGTCAAAGATAACACCTAGGTTCCTTGCTTTATTCTCGGAGATTAATGTAATGCCATTCAGGCCAGGTGATTGACTAAGCAATTTCCTTTTCTGGATTTCTGGTCCAAAGATGAGAACTTCAGTCTTGTCTTATTTAAAAGCAGAAAGTTTAGAGTCATCCAATTTTTTATGTCCTCAAGACAAGCCTGTAATTTACCTAACTGATTAGGTTCATCAGGGTTAATGGATAAATATAACTGAGTATCGTCAGCAAAACAGTGGAAGTTTATCCCATGCTGTCTAATGATTTTACCAATTGGGAGCATTTATATAGTAAAAAGAATTGGTCCAAGCACTGAACCCTGTGGTACTCCACAAGTAGCCCTGGAGTATGAAGAAGATTTGTCATGTACAATTACAAAATGATATCTATCAGACAGGTAGGATTTAAACCAGCCTAGCGCTGTTCCTTTGATCCCTACAACATGTTCAAGCCTTTCCAAAAGAACATTGTGATCTACTGTGTCAAAAGCAGCACTGAGATCTAACAAGACTAGAACAAACACAAGATTCTTACCTGAGGCCATGAGAATATAATTTGTAACTCTCACTAATACAGTTTCAGTGCTGTGATACTCTCTAAATTCCGACTGAAATTCCTCAAACAGATCATTACTGTTTAAATGCTCACATACTTGGATGGCCACTATTTTCTCAAGGACTTTGGATGAAAATGGAAGGTTAGATATTGGTCTATAATTCATTGGGTCATCTGGATCCAGAGAAGGCTTCTTAAGTAAAGGTTTGATTAGAGCAACCTTAACATCCTGTGGTACGTATCCATTTACTAAGGATAGATTGATTATATCTAGAATGGGGGCAGTAACCAAAGGAAATGCATCTTTAAATAATTTGGTTGGGATCGGATTTAAAATGCAAGTTGAAGGTTTAGATGAAGCTAATATTTCTGATAACTTTGAAAGCTCAGCTGGATCAAAACGATTCAAACACAAATGAGGTTCTACAGATACCTCTGATGCTGCCTCACTTACTGAGGAAGAAAAAATCACATTCGGGAGGATGCTAATGATTTTGTTTCTAATATAATTTTTTTATACTTTATTTTTTTTTCAATTTTTTAAGTACACTCAAATAGAATAACACCTGAACAGTAACGCTAGGGGCAGCTATTCAATTTTTTGGCTTGTTATTGCTCCGTTGGTCCATCGAGGAGATCTACACAGAAATGTCATCCCTCTTCCACCTCCTTAAACGATGTCCATCTCCTCCATTTTTGGTGAAAGGTAGGCATTTTTAGTCTCAGATGGTGAGTTAGTCTTTCCATGCTATAGATTTCCTCCATGATATCCAAGCAATGTCCAAGTAAGGGGGGGAGGGGGGTCGCTTTGCATCCGGTTCCTTGTGATGGCCTTCTTGCATGCAATTGTCGTGACCTTATATAAGTAAACGTCTCTGTTTTGAATAACCCTCTCCGGCATGGCTCCCAAATACATGTTTTTTGGATCTCTAGGCGCAAAATAATGTAATATTTTCCTTAATGTCTCACTTACATCGTCCCAGAAAGGTTGTATCTTAACACATGACCAAAAAAATGGGTATGAGTGGCATTTCCATGGCCGCACAGCCTCCAACAGTATTTTTTTTGTTTCCTGGTATATACCAATAATTTGTGGAGTCAAAAAAACAAAAAAACCAAAAACAAGCTAGATTCTTCCAACAAAACAGGCGCCAGTTTTGTGAATTAGTAGAGGCTTGATGTGTTTTAGACAAGGAGAGCCACTCATCCTCCGATATTGTTATATTCATTTCCATTTCCCATTTTGATTTAATATAGCACAAACTTTGCCCATTGCATTTCTGTAAACCTCTATATAGTTTAGTGACAATTTTTGAGGGGGT